GGTAATTAACTGAAAATGACAAGTTAATAAAAGGTTTTTCAATCAGGGTAGCTGATCCCCGATGGCTAATCTCTTAGTAATAAATTGACCTTTCCGACCAAATATATTAATGATAATAAGATAGCAAGCAATACAGTATTTACATGCTACTCAATTATACGTTGACAGCTCAGAGCTTTGATTCTCTTGATTAGATTCAAAACGCACAAATAGCAATATCGGAAAAATAATCAACATATTAACCCATGATAATAGCTCATTAACAACCCACAAAATAGAAAGGAAATATCAAGTAGTTTAATTATCTTAATTTCAAAATTACAACACGCCAATTGTAATCTATCTATATTCCAACCTAACTATCTTCCTCGACAATAAATCAGACACGAGAAGGAACAACATAGACGAGCATCAACTTAATCGCGTCACTCTCTCAAAACCGCAATATTGCCGCAACAGTTTTCGCTTACACATTTAAGACAAGAGCTCCACAACTTAATTAAAATCTGATTATGATTCGAGGTTTTCTATAAAAGAGGTAATTGTAGATATAGTTTGAAACACAAAATACGGGCTTTTTTGTTGAAAATTAATTCTTGTTTTTGTAGTCATTAAGAATGGCTATATTTCTGCTTATACAAATACAAGCTCTATCATAAGTAACGATTCAGATATTATTGTGTCGGAAAATAAGCACCTTGATATCAAATTAAATATTTTGATAAACGCTTTCGTACTAATAGATGAGCAGCTATACAAGTGTAATTATTAGTTTTATAGTTAAAGAATAGGATCGACCGGTGCTAGTAAAATTATTGACGTTGACAAAAACTATTGAAACCAAAGTAAGACGAATGGATTAAATAAACGGTAAAGTGTGCCGTTACCCCAGAGCGACACTTGGATGAGGCGGGCCGAGCACGTACATGCTTATAGTCGTTATTATCTATACCATTGAAAGAGAATGCATCCATCAAATTCAAATCACTGCTCAACATCAATGCAACTCCAACTGTGTTGTTTTGCTGTTTTTATATGGAGTTACCATTCGCTCAATGATTGGAAAGATGATTAACGCGCCGCCATTGCAATATTCAGCGGAATGATCACTTTTTAATTAAATCCTTGACTTTTATTTTAGCGTTTTGTAATCATTGAAGAAAAGTGTGTCGAATTGTTGTAAGGAGGGATTGATTTACGATTATTTGTGACGCGGGTTATGGCGAAGACAAATCAATCACGCGTTCTAACTGTTCGATCAACCACACGGCCGTGAAAATAGTTCTCTTGTCACACGCCAAACTTCGCCATATAATATTTCAAAATAACTAGTAGATAGGATAATGATATCCTTTAAGCAGAAGCCGTTTGATGATATGCCACTGGTCTAAAACATAAGCCAGACGGTAACATCAGGTATATGTCATGTAGCTAAATTAACAATATTTATTGGAAAAAATCCGAGAGAAATTGTTGTTATTGTAGTGTTGTGACGTCTGGTCTCATATTACTGTAAACATAGGAGAGATGCACACGCCTTTGATAGTACGCCACGGTAAAACTGAAACCCTAATCTTATCTACCTAATTGGGGAGTAATATGTAGATGGCTGTTTTAGTTTGCCAAAGATCAAAAACTAGCATCATACATACGGCTTGTGCATCTATCTAGTCAGCATGAGACTTACAAATGCGTTCACATATATTTTTGTCACCGTCTGAAATTAAATGCGGGATCCCGGTGAGAAGCTACTTGTACTTTCAAGCAGGTAGACTTCGGATTCAGCGGAGCGTGCCATCTTGATACCATACAAGAAGAACGAATCAATTGTCCCTAAGATTGAATTAATTCGCAATTTGTAGATTAGCCGTTTTGTCATAAACTCTTTTATCACCACAAATTGTTGTTTCATTCATAAGATTCGCTTTGAGAATGTCCATAAACAAACGCAACAAGTTTGACGATGTGTATTTCAAAGAGCATCGCCATACAAGGGCCACATGTAGCACATTCTCTAAGCCATTTGCCATAATACACACATTCTACAGAATCAAACAATTAGATTGATAAACTACATAACGTTCTATTTAGGCAATCGTTCATTCACTATTCGTGGTCGTTTAAGGGTTTTATAATGAGTTTATAATTAATGACAGATCCACAACGACTGTCATGCACAGAGTGAAAGTCAATGAATTATGAGCCAAATTTCACGAACATTTCACATAAAATGTTCAACAGTGTTTGGATCTGCGCTTGCCTCATTATTGAGGTTCAGAGTATTAGGGATTGGAGCATCACGCACCTGTAGCTCGTTACGGTACAAATATACACGAACTTGGTAATAAATCAAGAAAATTATGAAAAGAAGGTTAAAATCAAATGATCTATTGCGAAGAACAAGATATAAAACACTATATTGTATTCGATGGTTTAATTTTAATTGTAAATGTAAAACTCCATTTAGAAACGTGTTTGTCAAATTCGAAATTTTAGGTTTCTATGAAAATGTTAATATTAATTTCTAGGTCGGGGTAGTTTCCCAATAAAAACCCAAATTATAATATCATAAAATCATATTTTTGCATTGAACAGATAACAATTGTTATGCTGCACATATTCTAAATTGTGTAGACCCCCCACAATAGATTCAAACCTCCAAAAAGAAATTCCATCCACTAAATCTATTTATTATTCAAGTCTAGTGGGATTGCTGAACGGGTATCTTGGTCAACTATGTTATCCGATCTGAAATAGCAATTATTTTGGTGAAAGCGGCAACTATCTTTCTGCACCTGAGTAATTCCAATTTCTAATTAATATTTTTTTACAACTTTATATATAACACTCCACAGACACCCAAAGAACATATGCTGGTATGTAGTAATTAATTTAACGTATGTATGTAGAGAACATTTCAAAGAAGGCGGGTTTTGATTTTTTGGGGTTTGCATCACTGCGAGCGAAGCGAGCGCACACAGGAGGGGGGGGCACCCATCGTACAAACAGACTAAAGTTAGGAACGCAGTTCAATCATGTTACTTTACAAATTTCTTTATAACGTTGACATTGGTTCAAAACGTTAAGAAACAATTTGTTCTTAAACATAAAGCTATCATTTGATCGTGAAATTAATTTATCATTAACTTTTACTTTTCAATTCGGACTGATACAAAGTCGCAGTTACACAAAGAAACGTGGCTGTATCATTAAAATAACCTAAATCTGCAATTTCCCAAGTTTTAATTTCAATGATTCCATTTAGACTGTACATTAAACTACAATAAAATGCACATTAAACCCCGATGTCGTGTCGGTAAACGAACATTTTCTTACACGTGACTATATTTCTTAATTAAGATGAGATTTGATGCTCGTCATAACGTCTTGTCATTGGAAGTACCCTCATTATGGTGTATGCTTAAGAAAGTGACATAAGTAGCAAAGTAAAATAGAGACTGAATTCTTAAGATTGTTAGCTAAGATTGAATTGTCTACACAATATTACCATTACATCCAAAATACTTCAACCATCGAGCACAAAGTGTTATAGACAACCACGTGCGTTGGGTTTAATTGCTCTAAAAGCAGGGATGTACAAACGCACACAATAACCACTATACATGTGTATTTTACTTCACCAACTCTCTATTTTGGATATATTGGAGAATATTTTCCAGCTTGAATACTTTTCAAATATCCAAATCATTTTGTTGTGGTATTGTTCAGTGTTCAAGGCCAAGGAGGCCAACTGTGTATAAAATAGTATTAGCAGATATATTTTTATTAGAATACACTATTGTCACACAGGGTAAACTAATTCTTTCGTAAGGGTATGTTAATTTGATTCAGGGCACTTCACTTTACTGTTTGCTTTCTTTATCTAAAATTAATTTTTTGGGGGTAAAGCGCAGCATTCACTGGCAGAAAATGCAAAAACTAAAAATTGTATATTTTGAAAATAAACACGAGGGTAGGACTTATACAATATGTAACATATCTGTGCCATCATATGACAAATACAAAGTGTAACACATCTGTGCCATCATAGGTCGTATACAGAATGTAACATACTGTATCTATGTCATAAAAGGTCTAATACAAAATGTAACATATCTGCGTCACCATAAGACTTACAAGATATATGTGTCATTAAAGTCGAGTGTAACATATCTGTGTCTTCAAAGAACTAATTCAATTTGTGTCATCTTAGGTCCTCATTAGTCTAATGTAGAATGTTACATCTTTGTTATCATAGAACTAATACAAAATGTAACATATCTGTACTTATCATAGGACTAATTATAGAACTAATTCAAAATATATGATATTTGCGTCATCGTAGGTCCTCATTAGTCTAATGTAGAATGTTACATCTTTGTCATCATAGAACTAATACAAAATGTAACACATCAGTGTCATTCTTCATAGTCTGATTGGTTTTGGTTCCGGTTTTACTTTCGATATTGTTTATTATAATGTTTTAATCTACAGCAATATTTTGATCAGTGATTCTCCTGGAATGACATTATTCAGAGCAATAACTCAATTACAAATAAAAATAACACTTTTCAGAAAAACGATGCATGCTCTTTTGATGACATCTATCTAAAGCGCGAGGAGATAACTACAATCATATGTGCTAGTTAACTAGTGTAATAACTTCCATCAACTTATACTTTAACTAGGAAAATGAAGAGGTCAAAATGCCGAACACCCTCCCCCACGCATTCTGATACTCATCACATCGCTTTGTTAAAACATGGCTGAGGAGAAATGAGATGTCATCGTTCCTATCAAGTATCAAGACGTCCTCAAAATTTGTTCAGTTTTATAGGTTTGTATCATTATTACTTATCTGTTATGATAAATACCTTTAGATTATCAGTGGGTTCGTTATCTGATTATTACACGTGCTTGCGAACGTGAAACGGATGTATATATATATATTTATATGTACGTGTTTCACTTTCTCATTTGGTATATTGATCAAAAGTGTCATGTTTGGTGTATTGGTAAGTGTCTTCGCTTTGTTTTATCTAATATTGCCGTTCATATTTTGCCACAACTCTGAGTCACAATTGTTATGAACATTGAAATTAACATTTTATTGATTTATAGATTTATAGGACATTGCATAATCTCAAACTAAAATCAGAATGCATGAAAAAGCTTTGGTGAGAGAGTATACACGTATTGAGCAAATAAAAGAAACTACACCTAAAATAAAAACTTTATTCTGTGGAATATTGAGGATATAAACTGGTAAAAAACATTACAACAATCACATCGTTATAAAATGTTTCTTAATAATTTGCAAGATCCGCTTCAGATATTTTTACATTTGACTTGGAATATCTAAATATATGTTTCTTTGTATTAGGTATTCGCACTGGCAGTAGCCACCTCGCAGGCTTTCCTGTTCAACAATCCAACATGCAGATTTCCTGCTCCTGCAAAAGGTTTCAAGCCATCTATGTACCAAGGTAGATGGTATGAAGTTGGAAAGATCCAAACTGCTGGTGGAGCAATTTTCCAAGAAGGTTGTCACTGTTCTTACACAGAGATTGAACCAGTCAAAAACAAGACTGACGGTGAACAAAAAGTTGAAAACTTCTGCAGAAAATATGGCCCCGACGGCGAGCGAAGTACCGTCGACGGTTAGTTATTTAAAATGCGTTTTACAGAACAGTGTGCACATTAGGTGATCTTATTCAACTCGCGTATGATCGGCAGTACACTCATATCTTGTCAAATAGTTTGAAGGCCTCATATTATTGCATAGGGGCAATCTCTGCATCTCTTACCAATTAATAGGTAGACGTTTTGAAAAGGAAACACATTTATCTACCTACCCAATCATATACATAAGTATATAATTGCACTTTATGATGATTTTTCATTTCAGGAAAGCTTTTCAATATGAAGCGACCAGGAGAATGGCAACAAAGTTTCTTCCCATTTGTGCCTCCTGTAAGTACAGATTCTTTATGACGAGGTTAGAAATAGGCCTACACTCTTTGCATCAATGACCCAAAGTTCCCCTTTTCTATACCATGAGACATTCACAGAAGGCAAATGGTAATGAGAAAAGTTATTGTCCATAAGCCAAAACCATTGTTCAAGACTTTATTTGAAGTGTTTATTCCAGTGTTTTTGATCAGAGACAACACGTCGGATAATACTACATTTGGTTCAGTTGCATAATTCTATGCTTTTAGGTTGATTATCGCATTATTGTAATTGATGACAAAGGGGCTGAATATGCTATCGAGTATGACTGTGGGACCACGCTATCCGTCACAAACTATTGTATTCACATTCTATCAAGAACTCCAACTCTCAACGAGGAAACCGTACAAATGCTTCTCAAGAAAGCTAACGAAATGGACTTGAACCCAGAAAATCTTCCATTTGAAAGAACACCAATTGAAAACTGCAAATATGATTAAATATAAATCATGAATATAAATGTTGTTGATCGTCGTATTTTCTGTATGTGTCAATTTCTATCTACTCATTGTATACTCATAGGAAGTAATTAGGTCATGATAAATGTATTGTAAAATGCCTCTCAATAGAAGGGATCTAGGGAGATGTTCTCCATAGATTAGAAAAATATTAATGCAACGGCATTTGTTACAGACGCCGACCGCCGGACAATTTTTTACCGACACCGACCGCCATACACCAAGCGCTAACCGCCAAACGCCGTTCCCAAAAAGTTGGAGACTATAACAATGGCACAACCTGAGAATAGAGAATAATACAGAGATAGTCAAAACTAAATTGATTATAATTTCACTCTAATGTTGAAGCTTTAATGCGTGTTTCTTATGTCAGAGGACATGTCAAGTCTGATGTTACAATTTGAGCTTTATCACCACGCACATGAAGGCCATATCGAATGATCAAAAGATTAGAAATCGTATATCTGAATTATCATGCTGGTTATCTTATTGTTACACATGCTAACGAACGTGAAAGGGGTGTGAGAGGGGTGTACACGTATATATAACCTTAGTCTCAGATATAACATTTAATAATTTGATATTTGATCAGCAGCATCATGTTTGGTGTATTGGTAAGTAGCAACATATTATTATTTCAATAACTTTGTCACACTTTGTTTTTAGATTAGTTGTTGCTATTTAAGTTCTAGTTTTTTGCTAATTTATGTATCATATAGGCCTAGTTGTGCTAAGGATCTTCCTGATTAATTGATATGATTTATATTACTGCTGGAAGTTGTTAATTTTATGCAATGCTGCCCTTTGTTTTTTCCAATTAATAATGTCTGAAAAGTTTTGTCTTTGGTGTCAGAACTTTTGTTGTTTATGATTCAGAATATTTTTGTATAAATCTTTGTTTTCTCATTTACAACAAAAATATCATTTAAATACTTATCTAGCATGTCTTTCTTATCATAAAGGTATTCGCACTAGCAGTAGCCACCTCGCAGGCTTTCCTGTTTAACAATCCAACATGTAGATTTCCTGCTCCTGCAAAAGGTTTCAAGCCATCTATGTACCAAGGTAGATGGTATGAAGTTGGAAAGATCCAAACTGCTGGTGGGGCAGTTTTCCAAGAGGGCTGTCATTGTACTTACACAGAGATTGAACCAGTTGCTGACAATACTGAAGGGGAACAAACTGTAGCCAACTTCTGCAATAAATATGGCCACGATGGCGAGGTTAGCACCATCGATGGTAAGATAGTTAAAAGTAGTTGAGTTTTACATGTCAAAATAATTACCACTAACATAATGTATAGGTGATAATGGTAAATTCTAAGCATCCTTACTGACTATACGCATCCATGGAAAAAATGTTGGAGAAATATGTTGTTTATATGTAGCTTTTATTTTCAGGAAAGCTTTTCAATATGAAGCGACCAGGAGAATGGCAACAAAGCTTCTTCCCATTTGTGCCTCCTGTAAGTGCATATTCTCAAATTCATATTCTCATTGAAGCCCCTCGTAGAATTTAACTTCTTCATTTGAATATTTGCTATGACATTTCCTTGGTGATTAAAAACTAGATTTATAGAGAAAAATGAACATCATGTCTGTCTAGGATGAAGGACGGGGTCCCATCCCTAAAACATGTGATCTTATTAGGAGAAAATCTTGTGTTACATTATATCTATCGAGAGAGTAATGTAAAACGATTTGACCTTTTTCTGCTTTTAGGTTGATTATCGCATTATTGTAATTGATGACAAAGGCGCTGAATATGCTATCGAGTATGACTGTGGGACCACGCTATCCGTCACAAACTATTGTATTCACATTCTATCAAGAACTCCAACTCTCAACGAGGAAACCGTACAAATGCTTCTCAAGAAAGCTAACGAAATGGACTTGAACCCAGAAAATCTTCCATTTGAAAGAACACCAATTGAAAACTGCAAATATAATATGTAGCTTTATTCATTCCTCAAATAAAGAATGTATGTCATAAAACAAAACCAGTTATGAGTAATTAGGCGATGATAAATTGATGACATTACAATATTTCCACTGAAGTCGAATCACTTGGCAAACCGTAGAAGACTTCTTCCGAATTATTACGAATGCTTTTGTCAGTTGATATTTTAATTTTTGGGACAACACGAATACTAAATTTTCCATCAAAATGTCTCAAAGATTCAGTTTCCATCTTTTTAGGGTCAAATGTAAAATAAGGTTTGTTTGTTGTAAGCAATTCCTGCCAGGCATTTCCTGAGTCAAGCTGAATTTCGTATTCAAGATTTCTGCAATTTACTTTATTAAATGGTGGTGTCCATTTGATTTCCTCTTTTGGAGATATCTTTTTGGAGTGGACTTGGTAATTGTCTTTTAGAATTTGAACTTTACCAGGAATTTCAAGGATTTCCAATTCACCAATTGCTTGTTGTACATCTTCAAAGCTTGGCGAAAAAATAGTGTTCGACTCCTTTAATAGCAGAAAGTGTTCAGTCTTTTGAAGTCGGTCAAATACTTCATTTGCTTCTTGTACAAAAGCAAACGACTTTCCGGAGGATTTTTGTAACATATTTGCCTCATTGATCACACCTTTTGCGCCTTGTAGTAACTGCTCGCGTTTATTTAAGTTGTCGTGGCATTTAGCTATGTCATCAATCATATTTTTCTCTTTGGCTTTTAGCATTTTTTTCAACGTTGCGAACTGCTGCTTGACATTTTTGGTAAGCTGATTGATTTTGACGTTTTCGTCCGACGAGATTTTTCCAAACCCACGTTGCTGAGGTTGAGACACAGCTACTGAAAAATCAATGGAATACGGACCTATTATTCTCATTTTCTCACATAGTTTAACCATATTATACTTTTTATTCTCATGAGAGATTATGAACTTATCACAATTGATGATAACATACGTCAGTGTTAAAGAGAATTGTATACATGTATAAGCTTGGGTATATAGCCTTACATTGTATTAATACCTACCCTGCCCTAACTATGTATGACTAAGACGTCGATTTTTCATCTAGCAAATACATGTGCTCGAAAACCAAATACTAAGATAAATTGCGCAATAACACTGGATTATTTGTATTTACATATGCATCATATCAATATGCATGATATTAAATATATGTACTGAGACAATTAAGACTGTGACACAGTTTTTGAACTAGATACATCTAATACACCACCTTCAACAGCCGCAACTCCCTTTTTCAGCACATCCTTCTTTTCTTCAAAAATCTCCTTCAGTTTCCTCATATCAACCACAGTGTTGTGGTACCTGCACTCGTGTTGGGCACAATAGCAGCATATTGGTTTGTCACAATCCCTGCAGTACATGTTGTATTTTTCTCTATTGTGGAAGGAGCATAATGCACTGAACACCTTGTGGGGACTTTTATAAAGCCGTGTGGCATTGTCAACCTGTGGAAGCAACGCGTCACTGGAGGTCTCGCCGCCTCCGTATTCAGCAGGTCCAGGAACGGCATCTGGTGTGAAATGATTATTATCATATCTGAAATGATGGGTACAACGTCGTTAGATACACTGACGTTTATATTTTCGAATAACTGGTTTATTCAATTTTTCTACATAATGGTACATACAATGATATGATATCTACGAGTTGAAAATATTATATCAAAAAATCAAATTCATTCAAAAATATTACACCGATTTTCATGAAATAGAACTATCTCTGGCTGTAATCGTACAGGTGACACAATAATCGTAAGATAAATGCCTATGAACAGTTACTAAAAATATGACATAATCCAAAATAAGTGCATCGATTATATAACTTCAATGTAAATGTGTAATATCATGATCTCCTGGAATCACAGTACATATATCCACCTCTCAATTGGTTCTTCTATCAGTTCCCTTAAAAGAATTGCTAAACCTACCTATTGTATAGCAAATCACAAACGTGCTCCAACTTACATATTTTCAAGGATGTATTCTTGATCCATGGTGTGCAGAATGAAACGAAACTCGCTCTGGAATGAAAATGAAACAATATAGACTAGATAGTCAGATTGTATATTACACAGTTGATTGTTGCCTTTAAGCACTAGTATTTGGAACCATACTTCTATTTTATCCTTTTATATTTTGAACTGAATATACTTTAGAATTGTTGTATCCTGCAATACTTCATGGAGAGTCTCAGAGACAACAGGATATCCACCTTCTAAGGCTACCTGGCTACATAGATTGACACATTTGATTATTTTTGAATATATTAATATTGCCTATCAGATCTCTGATATTTTGTGACTTTGGAGTAAAAAAGAATAAACCTCAAGTCAACTGTCACGTTCTGGTTCTCCAACAAGTGAGATGAAACACTTTGACAAAGATGCAAGGTATAATAACCATTTAAAAAGACCAATATAATTAAATTAAAATACCTGTTTCTTTATCTTTCGATCCAGGTGTGCATTTGTGGTTAATTTTGGTTTCGAAAGGATTCACCTCGCTAAAATACGCGAAAAATGCTAATCAACGAGACAGGTATCATTCAAAACATATTATAATCAGGTCAACGCTATTGACGATAAGCGGGTGTTTTGTGTGCATTTCGCTTTGAATCAATATAAGGCATAGACGTTCTATTGATCTTCATTCTTGCAATATTTGCGCATGCGTGTTTTAAGGTATAAAAAGTGATCTTAATAACTGTGCCGTGTAAGTAAACACTAAACAAATGCAAAAATGAAAAACGAAACACTTTAAATTATGCTACTATCTCTGGTTCAATAATAAATTGTGCTATCCGTCATTTTCATCTTTAATTTGGTCAGTAGGATTTTCCATTGTGTCTTTTTTTTCGCAAAATTGCCAGACATATTAGAGAGATATATATACGTGTACGTTAGCTACAAAACGACTACTTTGAACAAAAATGCAACTTCTGAATTGCATTTGACTAGTATTCGAGTACGCCTTTTGGATTGATGAACATTTTTATTTAGAGCAATATATTGGGCACATTTTCAGAAAAATTCAAAAGATTCTGTTCAGTGACCTTTCCTAAGCTCCTACTTTTAGGTATTTTCCAGTCACATTTTCAGAGGGCTGTATTGGTTATTTCATCATGTTTAGGGTCATTCTGACCATGTACATTGTGATCCTTGTCCGGTAAATGATATATGGAACTATTTGACTTGACTGTTATCTTTGCTCAAAAATGTCTAAAAATGCCACAATTTTGTCACTTCCTGTTTTGTCATTTCCGGTTAAGTACCACGGGACCTTAACCTTTTAATTAAGATACGTGCACAATTGTAAGCACATTGGTTGAAAACTTGTTGAGTTAATGACCAAAAAGAGCCGAAACCCTGATTTTTCCAAAATAAAAATGGCCGTCATTTTGGAACGAGGCGGGCTATATTGAGACGCCACTAAAACTAGCCGTACACTAATTGGACATGATGGGAGATCAAGGGAGTTATTGAGTAAAATATTTTCATGTGACATGAAGGGACAAGTTCGGACATTCCCATGGGACACCCTTGGGACACCAGGGGACATTGTCCGATTTTGTCTCAAGTTGTCCCTTTATGTCCCAAGAAAAGAATGAACATGTTAATTCTTTTCGAGGGGCATTTCTGGACAAATGAGGGGCATTTCATCACTTGATGATCATATGACCATTTTCGGACAGAATGGCGCTATATTCCAGACATCGTCGGACAAAATGGGACAACGTCGGACAGTGTCCCATGATGTCCCATGAGACGGACATTGTCCGACTTTGTCAGTTTTGTTCGAATTTGTCTGTCGTTGTCCGAGGTTATCCGCCGGACATCATTGGACAATGTCCAAGGTTGTCCTGTTTTGTCAGATGCTGTCCTGATTTGTCCGAAAATGGCCATATGATCATCACGTGACTCAATGCTTTTGAATTTGTCCCGAGTTGTCCACAGAAGAAAAATGACACTTGAGTTCATTCTTTTCACCGGACGTAAATGGACAAAAACGGACACATGTGGACAATTGCGGGCAATATGCGGTGGACAACTCCGGACAAATATGACAATGCCCGGGCTTGTCCGCTGAAAATGTCCGAGATCCTGGTGAAAATATTTTACTCTATAACTCCCTTGATGTCCGAGTCCCGGTCCGAGTTTATCCGGCAAGTGTATGGCTAGCTTTATGGGACAATTGACGACGTTATATCCGGCGTTACACACGGCAAGACAGGTGGGCGATGACAATAGCTCTGCACCATGTGAGCTCGTGGAAGATTTCGAACTACCCTTAGCAAAAGCGCATGGATTTTTTTCCATGCAAAGCACATGCAAAGTCCATGCAATCTGAAAAGATCCATGCGAATCCATGCAAAAGAGGAAGTTGAACATAGAACCCATGCACTTCACTTGTCCATGCAATCACCATGCATTCTCCATGCGAATGAAAATGTAGAAACATTTATCCATGCAATCACCATGCAAAACACATGCAACACGCATGGACATTGCATGGTATCTGCATGCATGCAAACACCATGCAATTTCCATGCAGGCTGCTTGTATAAAATACTCTAAGAGATTGGTATCCATGCTAGTCCATGCAATACTGCATGGTATTTGCATGGTCATCAATGATTGGTTAAAGATTCACGCTATTTTTAAACCAAAAGAAATATGACTGACAAGGAATGTTCAACTGTAAGAGATTCAGGTAATTTTTATGATTTTAGAACAATAGTTTGAAAATGACCAATCAAATATAGATTCAGAAGTTGCTGACATACTTGGACATTCTGCATGTCTATTTTGTGAGAGGTTAATTGCAAGTATTGCTGTGGTTATTCCAGTTTAGATAGGCAAATTTTCTTTTCTTTATGAGGCCAAAGGAGCACGTAGGTTATCACAAACAATTTCAAACGATTCTAACTTGAATTAGGAATATTTTCTGATCATGAACATGGGTGTATCTTTTAGAACCATTCATTATCTTCAAGAAAAGTATAATGATTATTTAGTTAATCAGACCTACGTGATATTGAATGGGCAATGGACCAATCAACGTACTTTTTCAAAAATGTTGACCTAATTTTCACCAAAACTGCAACCTTTTATTATATTGTTGAATAATAAAATGTGCTTTGAGACAGGTTCGATTTCCTAAAAGGAAAAGTTGATTGCTCCAGGGACTTTAAAGATACTGAATTTGGATGACCAAAATGAACTGAAACCAATGGATAGCATGAGATTTTTCAATGGAGAAATAACATGGGGAACACTTATCTTAAAGCAATTAAGTTCTTTCAAGAACTATTTGATACATCAAAATAAAGAATAGTAATGCATTAAACATTGTAAAAAATGATTGCATTTTTGGTGAAAATGGGGTCAACATCTTTGAAAAAGTGTGTTGATGGGTTGATTGCTAGTTAAATATCTCCGAGTTTGTTTGACTTTATTATTACTGTATACAATTTTCTTTGAGATAATGAATTGATCTAAAAGATAAACCTGTCTTCATTGTCAGAAAATAGTCATCATCCAAGATATAACCTTCTGAAATTGATTGCGATAACCTACATGCTCCTTTAAAATATTCACTATTCAGACAGTAACCTACGCGCTCCTTTAAAATATTCACTATTCAGACAGTCAAAATGGTCAAGCATAAATGTGTTATGTATGATCAATTGTACCAGCAACAGTAAAAATATACTTGTATTTTGTAATGATTATGAAGATAAATACTGCTGCACCTAGAGGGTCCTTCATTATCATGAATAACTGTGAGCCTTCTGGCAGTAGGTTCTTATCTGGATGAAAATTATAAAACAGGCAAGATTACTTCATCACAGAGAATTCTTAAATCTTCAACTGAAGGATTATCTTTATAGCGTTATAAGGTAGGACTGAAAACCCGCCCGATATCCCGATCACCCGATGTCCACCATTCAGTCATTTTCGCAAGAAAGCTGTGACTCACCTGAATGAGCAATTATTGTGTTTGAGCATTCTCAGATTTAAAGATACATTGTGCTATAGGTTTCTCTCCCAGAAAATCAGTGAAGTCATTTATGGAATTCCCTTGGCCATGTGACGAAATGAAAAACAGATTTTGGCCATGTAAATCCATGCAAAATTGAATGGGGATGGTTTTCATAGAAAACCATGAAAATGCATTCAATTTTGCATGGATAGTGCGCGTCCCTCAATAACAATATTTCTCGCAGCCTGCATGGACTTTGCATGTGGATTAACGTGCTTTGCATGGATTTGAATGGATGTCGCATGGACTTTGCATGGATTTGAATGGATGGTTAATGGACCATGCAAAATTGTATGTGGATTGCATGGTTTTCATATAAACCCATGCAGATGCATGCAATTTTGCATGGACATTGCATGGAATATTTCTCGCAGTCTGCATGGACTTTGCATGTGGATTAACGTGCTTTGCATGGATTTGAATGGATGCCGCATGGACTTTGCATGGATTTGAATGGATGCCGCGTGGACTTTGCATGGATTTGAATGGACTTTGCATGGTATTTGTACAAATGAGTTTCAATTTTGCTGCATGGTGTATTGCATGGAAACGTCGCAAGGACTTTGCATGAACTTTGCATGCATGCGGTTTTGCTAAGGGTACCAATGCGTTGACAGACAGACGGATCGACGTACAGACGGACGGACAGACAGACGGCAAGAAAAAACAATACATTTGAAATGAATCTAATCACTAATCACATTTTCTTAAAAAGAACAAACTACACATTTGAAATGAAGTCAGTGCAGTTCGAAGAAAAATGCTTCCCAAGAAAACCATACAATTATCAATGCCAGTATCGTTTTATCAATGGATCAACTATTTGTCACATAAAGTTTGTTCATTTGTTTTTCACCTCCAGTCCACACTTCAAGACTAATCAAATATAAGATTTATGTTTACGCACATTAATTCGTTTCATTGCTTTGACTTGATGGATTTTCACTAAATAGACTCCCGAAAAGATCATTTAAAACAAATTATTCTTATGATGTGACATCTGTATATGAAAAGAAACTAGTGTATCAATTTTATGTCACCAACTGACTATTGTTTTTGCTTTCTGACTTTTGACATTCTGTTGTAAAATAATTAACAAATGAGTGCCAGGGAGATATTACATATGGACATCTCACATATGTTTTCTTAATTGATTAATTAATCAACCTGACTTTAAAACAATTTTTTAAATAATTATTCTTTTCCTGTTAAAACATTATGGTAATTAATTTGTTTTAAAATATCAATACCTCAAATTGTCATCACATTTTTATCGAATACAATATCTACATTCAGTCGTTGTCTCCATTTATAAGGTATGTACAAATCATATTGTTAATATTAAGAGAAGATAACGTATCAACTGCTTTATCAAAATGTCTCTGAGAGAATTCACAGGTGCCATCGAATGGTAGCAATAAGAAAAAAGTATATCTTTTCATAATCAAAAGCAGCCTACATGGCAATGTTTTGTATTCAATCTACGCTTCATAATTTGATGAATTGA